GGCACAGGAGCGGAGCAAAGATCGGGCAACCCGTTTGCTATGAAGCTAAAACTAAGACTACCAGACTACCAGTCATATTGTGACGGTGGCTTATGGTGCTGTTTGTGTGTAACAGTGACTAGTCACATTGTGACGGTGGCTTATGGTGCTGTTTGTGTGTGACACTGACTAGTCACATTGTGACGGTGGCTTATGGTGCTGTTTGTATGTGACAGTGACTAGTCACAGTCTGATTTTGACATGTTTGTGTGTACTAGAGGCATTTGTCACAGTATTTGTAACAGTGTCGTTTGTCCGGGTAAATCTGAGAAGGTGACTTATGGGGCTGGTAAAATTGTGACATTTTATGTGTAAAAGTTGTTGCTTTATATCACTGTTTGTGTGTGGGAATGGCTACCTCATGTCATAATTTGTGTGTTGGAATGGCTTATTCATGTCACAGTTTGTGTGTGGGAGTGGCTCCTTATGTCATTTTGTGTGTGAGCAAGAGTGGCTAACTCATTTCACAGTTTGTATGTGTGAGTGGCCACATCACATTATGGTGGCTAACTCTTGTCACTGTATGTGTATGGACAGCTTGTAGGACAGTATCTTGTGACAGAGAGTATGTGAGAGTGACGAATTGATATCACAGTTGATATGTGAAAATCGCTACCTCATTTCACATTTTGAATGTGAGAATAACTGACTTCTATCAGTGAATATGGTATATTATCTCATACTTTCCATGGTTTATGTATGAACTGTCTGATGTCACAGTTTATGTATGGCCTGTCTGATGTCACAGTTTATGTATGGAGTGTCTGATGTCACAGTTTTTGTATGGGCTGACTGATGTCACAGTTTATGTATGGGCTGTCTGTTGTCACAGTTTATTAATGGGCTGTCTGATGTCACCGTTTATGTATGGGCTGTTTGATGTCACAGTTTATGTACGGGCTGTCTGATGTCACAGTTTATGCATGGACTGTTTGATGTCACAATTTATGTATGGGTTGTCTGATGTCACAGTTTGTGTATGGGCTGTCTGATGTCACAGTTTATTTTGGACTGTTTGATGTCACAGTTTTTCAGATAGTAACTAGTGCCATAATTTATGCAGAGTGACCTATCATAGTTTATGCCAGGTAGGGGATATTACCCTTCCCCCTCGGCATTTGCTCATTTTGTCTTATTCTTCTTCTTTGCCTTTGAATATGTTATTTATCATAATGTGATGGATTTATGCTTGTGATGTTATATCATCAAGGATGGACTTCTACTCTGAGCCCATCATATTCCCCTTGTGGGTTTCAGAGCCCTATTTTAGGGGAAACAGAAGGATAGACCCATTGGCGCCACTCCCCAACCCCTCTCTGTGGGCTGATATTTGTTGTTTTGGATCGACAGACTAGATATCACAGCCTAGCTGTAAATCACAACATGGCGTGCCAACCACCCTTTTGAGGGTGAAGCCCGAAGAACGACAAACAAATTTTGTGAAATGTTAGGCCCTCACACATACTAAGCCATGACTTTGTGAGCTGGGGTGACCAGTCTCTTTCCTCATTGCCTTTCCCCTCTCAGACAGTTACCAGCAAATTTATCTGGTTCCCTCCCCTTGTGGGTTCCAGGGTCCCATTGTGAGGGGAGAAAATAGTAGACCCACACACGTGTCATAAAAGTTGACTAATTAAGGGTGTTTCCTTCTCAGTGGGAGTACATCTGCCTGAGAGGAGAGCAACCAACAGCCTGCATACTAATAAATCAGATCTGTAAAATAAGTGTGCACACCAAACTCAGGTTCTGGAATAAGACTAAAGTTCATAAGTGAATGAACTACTGTTTCTTTCTGTTAGAGTTTACAGCCAGTATCATAAAGACAAAGAAGCCTGCTTCTATGAACTACTTGTAAATTGATTTATTATTTTATTGTAATGGCCACAAGGCTTTCCCAATGACTGATATTTCTTTGTATTACATACAACGTAGAAAGTGAGTGTATGTGACATGTTTGGGCATAAACTTGTAGTCTATCATTGCTTGTAGAGTTTAGTCATTGTCTTTCAAAACACCCAGGAAAACAGTCAGCTGAACAACTTAGCCTTTTGTAGACTCTTGCCCAGCAGTAGTAGGTACACAACCCATTCTCTTAGCAGTAGTAGGCACACAACCTATTCCCCTAGCAGTAGTAGGCACACAACCCATTTCCCTAGCAGTAGTGGGCACACAACCCATTCCCCTAGCAGTAGTAGGTACACAACCCATTCCTCTAGCAGTAGTAGGCACACAACCCATTTCCCTAGCAGTAGTAGGCACACAACCCATTTCCCTAGCAGTAGTGGGCACAAAACCCATTCCCCTAGCAGTAGTAGGCACACAACCCATTCCTCTAGCAGTAGTGGGCTCAGAACTCCCCTAGTAGTGATAGGCAGTGGAATATTCCAGTGCCAGAAGACATAGAATGTAATCCCCTGGAAGGCAAACTGTATCTACTGATTGACAAAGTATTTTTATTTCTATGTAATTCCTTGCTATTTCTACATCCTTCCAGCATTATTGGGGGATTTTTAAAGTTCAGTGAATGATTTCAGTATCTGTATTTGCTCAAGTGTGTTGACAGGAACTGTGTGTACCTCGGATGTTTTTGATCTCACGTGAGCTGAAGTAATGGGAGGATGCTTGTGTTTTGTTGGTTTCACTGGTAATTTAAGTCAATCACAGACCCTTTTCAAGTCTGTGGCACGCCACATTTGTGGAGCTTAATCTGTATTTCATAGACCAATCAGCACAGGTTCTTTTTCTGTTTCTCTCTCCAAGATGGAGCCCCGGAACCTATCTTGTTGTAAGAGTAAAGTCTATCCAGTTCTAATGGTGAGTTTTATCCAGTTGTCTGAGTAAAGTATCCAGTTTTAATGATGATTTTTATCCAGTTGTCTGAGTAAAGTCTATCCAGTTTTAATGGTGATTTTTATCCAGTTGTCTGAGTAAAGTCTGTCCAGTTTTAATGATGATTTTTATCCAGTTGTCTGAGTAAAGTCTGTCCAGTTTTAATGGTGATTTTTATCCAGTTGTCTGAGTAAAGTCTATCCAGTTTTAATGGTGATTTTTATCCACTTGTCTGAGTAAAGTCTATCCAGTTTTAATGGTGATTTTTACCCAGTTGTCTGAGTAAAGTCTATCCAGTTTTAATGGTGATTTTTATTCAGTTGTAAGACTGGATTGTACAAAGACACATCAGTGTTGACATTTAGAACACTCACACACCACTTGCACAGCTGGTGTTTGATTCCACCTCTGTGGTTCAAATGATTAGGTCTGTTTGCTTGAAGAATAGCACCATTCTTTTAAAATACAAGCGTCCTTCTCATTTCAAGGTAAATGAAAATTATATAAGCAGAAAAATTGAGTTTTCAAATGTAAAATAAGTCTGTATTATTTGTTATCTTTTTGGCAGTTGAGTTAAATTATGGTCACAGTGATTGCACATAGGTTGATATTTCCAGTAATTTGATTGGTGTGTTAAATTTTAAGATCACATGACTGCTGGAAAAGCATCTGTGATTGGTTTGTGTTATTTGTAATCCTAATGCTGATTTGTAGATTCATGGGAACTTGTAAGTTAATGTCTGATTGGATGAATCTACTTCCCAGTGATGTGTTGGTGTACATGAATGGAACATTCCATTGCTTTTTGAATTAGTTGTTCTGTTATTTATACTCTTGTTGCTGTTTGTAAAATGTGTTTTGCTAACTTGTTCACCTCTTGAGTTGTTCTTCTGACCGTGTGTTTGCGGTTGTCTTCTCTTCCACTCATTTCAACTGTTTAAACTGTTAATGTTATAATTTATAAATTATATCAATTTTTATACTGTTTTCACTGAACATTTGCCATAACCTTTTCTGTTGATTTATTGTATTGTCGTGTTTTTTTCCACTGCTAATACTGCATTTATGTTAGTGCTGGTTCCATAAATTTGTTGAATTGTGTTTACCGTTCTCAATATGTAAATTGTTTTTTCTGTAATAGTTTCAAGTTTTCATCTTGATACCAGGATATGCAGGTCTGCCTGTATGCGTGTGTATAAGGTTGGGTGCTGTATTTATATCCTACTCCTAGATGATGTCACAGGACAGTCCAACAATTTAGACGATGGTAAGACTGGCTTTCTGATGCTTTTGACAACCCCAAAACATCTCGAACTGGCCCTTACCCCAACCCACCTTCGTCCTAGGAGAGAGAGCAACCTAGGTCCCACAACTGCATGCAGCCTATCTACCACCTCCTGAAATATTAGACTGTCCTGTGACCTGCGGATTTTCCCTGTTTGGAGTAGAAAATAAAGCACCTAAGGTTGTTCTAAAGAATTGTTCTGTTGTCTTAGTTTTTCATCAGTTTGAGGTGTCTGTGTTTATGGTACCTTCTAAAGTGTATGCCACCTCTCTTATGTCTTGGGTTGTAGCACTAGAAGTGCAGTTGTCCTAGTATCTCTCCATGTCGGTTCCAGGGCCTTAAACAAGAATAGTCCAGCTGCCCCCAACAATCAGGTCATATAAAAGCGACTAACTAGGGTTGTTTCCTTCGAAATTTGGGTGCATCTGCCTGAGACATGAGGAACCAACAGTCTGCATACAAATAAGCTAGATCTGTAAAGTGGATGTGCACACAAAACTCAAATTCTGGAACAAGACCAAAGTCCAGAAGTGGAGGAACAACCAGAAATTTGTTTACAGACGCTGATTTTTTACAACTGAGACCTTGTTTCATTGCTCTCTTCTACTAATTGTGATCATGGAGAACACAAGTGGGCACATTAGGCATTTGGTGATGAGCTCACATATAGACCATTCAGCACAAGGAGGGGGAGCATCGCGCAGGTTGCAATTACTTGCCAGGGCTTTACCTTGCACCCATTTTAAGTTGGGTCGATCTGTGATATGAAGTCATTTTTGAAATAATAGGATGAGATTTGAACCCAAGCAAGACTTTTGGCCAACAGGTGAGATAATGAAGGTGAAAAAAAAAAATTAAATAAAGTGCAGTATGGGATAGGGCAATGGTCAGTGTCCTTCACATCCATGTATGGGTGGGATTTGAAGAAGCTGGCATATTGTTCTAATCTGTATCCCTCCTGTGCCAAGCCTTTCCAGATTTGTTCATAGTGGGTTGGCCTTTGTGGCTCAGTCTTCTTATGGGATGCAGTAACCAACCTCAATATTAGCCCTAAACTTTGTTGTCTCTTACGACATGCTTGATAGAGAGTAATATTTGTTTTCCCTTAGCATTTCAGACGCTTTCTTTCTCTTCTTAGCGGCTGTAATTCATCCACTCCTGGACTTCGGCCTTGTTAAAGAACTTGAACACCTATTTCAAATGTGGCTTATTTATATGCAGACTGCTGGTTCCTTGCCTGCCTGGCAGATAATGCATTCTGAGTTTGACGGAAACACCAGTAGTCCCCTTTTACAACATGTCTGTTATGGGAACAGTAGGTCTTCCGCAATGGGAGCCCAGGAATTCACATGGGAACAGTAGGTCTGTTTTAGTCTTCCGCAATGGGAGCCCAGGAATTCACATGGGAAGTGCTTCCATAATTCACCTACATTGATCCTTTCTTTAAGTGGTCTTCTATGTGATATTAGTAATCCTTTCTGTTGACATCCTTCTGTCTTATCATTTCTGATACAAATGTCCTTTATTACCATGATGCCAAACTGTTCAGCAATGTCTCTTGTGGTCTCCATCTGCCTCTTTTCCCCTTGGCTGGACATTGCAGCTTGAAATGTGGATATTGTGTCCTCCCTATTTTCTACCTCTTCCTCTCAAAGTGTGAGTCATTACCACTGAATTGATTTCTCATTTTTGTTTCACCAGCCTAGATCAGTGTTTCCCATTTTAAGTCGTCAGTGGTGCCATTTGTACACACATGTACACATACAAACACAACAACCAGTAACTTAAGAAGTCAGTTGTTTCTGAGATTCTAATATTTGTAAATTATAATAATCTCTTCAGTATGACTTAACAAGGATGAGATCAGCCCTTCAAAAATAATTGGGTGCACAGGTCTGATCTAATTGGTACCCACTGGCCTCAAGGGTTTCTCAACCAGTGAGGGCTCTACACCAGGTGTTTTCACGGTGAGACTCTCCTACAAGGCTGCTACTTGTGTTCAGTGAATGTTGTTG